GGTTTACAGGCATGAGCCACCACAACCGGCCCACACACAGCTTTAAATTGGTTACTTTAGTGTCTCATTCTTAAGAAAGCCATGGATGGCCACACATTTGCCCAAATATACAATATGACAAACAGAGATCTTAAAAGAGATCTCAGAAGTAGTATAGACAATTCAAGAAAAAAATTTAAAACATATTCTCAGTTTTAAGAGATGATATTATCTCCATGAGAGAAAAACAGGGTGTTTTTCAAAAACTAAAGAACAAAAATGAACTTCTAAAAATTAAAAATATGACATCAAATGTAAATTTTTCAGTTGTAAAAATTTCCTAGAAAGTGGAAAAAAAGACAGAGAAACCACAGAAAAAGAAAATCACAGGATTAATCTAAGAGGTTTAATTACCAAGAGAAAACACTAAAAATGGAGATGAGAAAATTATCAAATAAGTCAAGGAAACAAATAAGCTTTCTGAAAAAAAAAAAATAAGCTTTCCATTTTTTTTTTTGTTTCATGGATCTGAAACAAATAAGCTTTCAAACTGAAAGTGCCAAACAATATCTACCAAAAAGAATGAAAGATACCCTAGTAAGATACACTACTGTGAAATTTCAGAATATCAGGGAAAAAAAGATAAAATCTTAAAAGTTTTTAGAGATCTAGCAGATCTAACAGATCATGATCAAATGCTGAAAATCAAGGGAGACACAGAATTCTCGACTGTAATACTGAGGCTAAATAATAATTACACAACTCAAAATTAATGAAAGTAATTTCCAACCTATTAGGTTGGTGCAAAAGTTATCGTGGTTTTTGCAATAGAAACCGCTATTACTTTTGCAGCAACCTAATAGAATTCTATACCCCAGGTATGATAGTAGAATATACATATTTTCAGACATATATCATCTCTAAAACTTTATTTCATTCACCCTTTTCTCAGCATGAAAATGGAGGATATGATTCACCAACACAAGGAAGCAAAGCAAGAAGATGGAGTGATCCAAGACTCAAGTGATCCAATGTAGAAGACAGTTCTCAAGATGACAGTAAAACAAAGTCTCAAGATGAAAACTGTGTAGCAACTATTTAAATTGGAGCAGAAAGATGTAAGGCCCTAGAAAGGATGTTTCTAATGGGGAAGAAATGTGGACTAATAGATAACCAAGCATACCTGCTTATATACAGTTGTTTTAGAGTCCTTCTGGAGCTTTTGGGGATAAATAATAGGTATGCAGAAAACTAAGCAAAACAAAACAGAGGTATTTAGTGGCCCTAAGGGGAGGAAAGGTATTAAAAAGGAAATATAATCACAGTACAGAACATGGTTCATCTATGGACAATCTTTATAGTTATAATAAACACTAGATTATTGATTTAACATAATTATTTGGGAGAATGAGAATAGGAGTGTGGTGGTTTAAAAGTTAAATTCCAACCTTCTTTCATGAGTGAGTCAAAAATTTCTGAAAATTAGAAAAAATAAATGAAAAGTCTCTTGGGTTCTTATAATCTTATTTTGTTATTATTATTATTATTATTATTTTGAGATGGAGTCTTGCTCTGTCGCCCAGGCTGGAGTGCAGCGGTGTGATCTCGGCTCACTGCAACCTCCGCCTCGGGGGTTCAAGCAGAGCCTCAGCCTCAGTCTCCGAAGTAGCTGGGATTACAGGCATCTGCCACCGCACCCAGCTAATTTTTGTATTTTTAATAGAGATAGGGTTTCACTATGTTGGTCAGGCTGGTCTTGAACTCCTGAACTCGGGTGACCCGCTCACCTCGGCCTCCCCAAAGTGCTGGGATTACAGGCATGAGCTACTGCACACACCTAACTTCTTAAAATCTTGTTATTTACCTCACCTTGCCCTTTCACTCCTGTCATCATACTGTCATACCAGTAACCATAATCCTTTCACAATCTCAACTGTCTGCATACTTCTCTCTGAACGTTATCTCCTAACATTCTAGTTCACTCTAATACCTCAACATCCACTGATACGACAATCCCACTGTTAGTCCCAATCCATGAATCCTACCATCTTTTTACTTGTCCTAACTGCTTCGATACTCTCTTCCCTCCTTTCCCAGTGATCCGTCAACATTTTCTACAGCTCTGCTGTTAACAACACTGAAATCTATTAAAATTGTTCTAAGTTTTGTTTCTAAGGACAGGGCTCTTCTCTGTTTCTAATATTGATAAAGAACTTTTACCACTACATTAGTAAAGTTACTCTAAAGGAAAGGTGCAAAAAGTTAACAGGGCTTAGTGTAACATTTTGTCTTTTATTTCAATCTCTCATGGGAGTTTAAGCTTTTTATAACAGGAAGGCTGAGGGAATTCAGGGAAAATGAAAAATTGCATAGCTACAAGAAAATATAAAAGAGTAACCCGACAGAATAGAAAGAATACAGAGTTGGTAGTCAGTAGACTTCATTAATAATCCTGGATTAGGCCAGGCACAGTCTCAAGAGTGTAACTGGATTAGGCCAGGCTCAAGAGTGTAATCCCAGCACTTTGGGAGGCTGAGGTGGGCGGATAACCTGAGGTCAGGAGTTCAAGACCAACCTGACAAACATGGAGAAACCCCATTTCTCCTAAAAATACTAAATTAGACAGGAGTGGTGCATGCCTGTAATCCCAGCTACTCGGGAGGTTGAGGCAGGAGAAGCGCTTGAACCTGGGAGGCAGAGGTAGAGATGAGCTGAGATCGCGCCATTGCACTCCAGCCTGGGCAACAAGAGCAAAACTCCATCTCAAGAACGAGGAAAAAAAAAAAAATCCTGGATTATACCCTAGACTAGTTATTTAGCCTGAGGGCCAAAATTCCTTAGTTTGTAAAATGGAGCTAAATTATACCAACAATTTAAAAATGTTTTTTCTAATAGCAAAATCCAAATGATATTTTACATAAAATCCCAAAACAACAACAAAAAAGACTGTGTTGCCTCTTGAGACAATTCTGCAGAACACTGAAGCTCCACAAAACATAATTTGAATTTTTCTAGATCATTCTAGATCTAGATCATTTCCAGAACTATCCTACAAGTCTAAAAAAAACTATGAATTTTTTATCTCGAAACATTACAACTTAGTTCCGGAATGCCATAGAAGACAAAGTTGACACATGAGACAAAATGCTGGAAACAAACATGTCAGTTTAAAGCAATATTTCCTGTAAATTTTTTCTTCTTTTATTACTAAGACCACTTGAAATGTTTCCATCGGTACATGTTTTTATAAACATTTTCTATAAATAGTCTATAAATATAAGGGATAAAAGAATAGAAAGCACATGAAAATGTAAAATATCCTATGTAAACAGAAGGAGCTATTTTAATAGGGAATGTGGTCTCTGCCAAAGAAAAGTTTATAATCAAATTAGGGGTAAGAAACAGCCTATCAAGAACCTAGAGGATCTGCTTAACATGCACAGTGTCTTCCAAGTTTTAAAAGGAGCATTACTCCAAAGTGGGAAAAATGCCTGATGCCACTGAGGTGAAAAACATTTTTAGGTGAACATTACAATGGTAGGTGAAGAACAAACAACAGTTATCACAGTCTTTTATTGTTCTAAGCTTGTAGTTTAGGTAATTTAAAACTATATTATCTATTGCAGGCACTCATCATCTTCTGCTGTTTCCTCCTCTGTGCTACTGTTATCTTTCTATCTCATTCAAATCACCAGACAGAAAAAGAGCATCCAATTAAAAGTTAAGACACTGAAGGTCTAGTACCAGTCCTGAAATTTATTGGTATGTAACTAACCTGGATCTTGGTTTCCTCAACTACAAAATAATGGCAAGATTCTGAATTACTTGTAATTTATCTTTTCAATATAAAACTTTATTAACAATAACCTTTTCATAAGAAAAATCTCCTAGTCATTTTCCTTCTAATAACAATTCTTTAAGTTTCCTTTCTATATTACTTGATAATTACCTTAAATAGGCTCTGAAATGAAAGAAAATGACATTCAACCAGTTAGTTCTCCATTCTCAAATCTACTTTCATTATATTCAAATTCATAGCCATACTTCAAACCCTAGGCTAAAAGAAAGAATACCCCTGAATGGCTTAAATGTACCAGGCAATGCAAGGTATTTTACATACACTACCCTGGTTTTTCATTGTAACAGTTCTGTGAGTATTACATTCTTAACTCCACTTTAGAGTCGGTAAAACATTGAATGCTTTTAAAATGTTTTGGGGATTACCGTTCTAGCCACTACTTTTAAAACTGGGAAATAATTAAAATTTAATGCTTTCCCAGTTTTAAAAGTAGAGGCTTAGAATAGTAATCCCCAAAACATTTTCACAGCATACATCGTTAAGCATTGTAAATCTGCTTTCATTAACATAATTAATTTTTAGAATAACATATACCATCAACCTAAATACCAAATAATAAAAAAGTTTAGTATCTTTTACTTAGTTTTTAGATAAAATTACGATTACGTAATTTTCCTCTCACAACCCAATGAATGGATTTGAATCTAAAAGTTATCACTATGGATTTAAATCTACTGTGGACCAAGTTAACCTCTGTTGGGTTCTATGGCCACAGACTGAATTCTAGTTATTCAAATTATCCTTGAAAGACACTGAAACACATAGAAGGCTGGGTGACCAAGCCTAATAGCTCATTTCAAATATAGCTTGAGTAAGATATCCTACACATGGTGAGCCAGAAGAATTGCCTTAGTTGTTAGACAGTGCATTATTAAGATCACCTATATGCTTCAGTATTACACCTTACTGATCTTTCAGGTTGCTATGAATGAAACATTTTCAAATTACTACACAAATGAAAGATCTTATAGCTATCTGATATTCATCTCTATATTAAGGTAGACTTTATAACTCATTGAATAAGAAATATAAAAAACAACTTAAGTTCTATTTTTATTCTTGTTAAGAATACAACTTGTTGAAACCTTCTAAAAAATATAACTCACATTTAAAATGAATTATAATGTAATTAAAATTCAAGTAAAAATGTTAGTCCTCTTACCCTGTCCAGTTCCAGTGTAAACTTCTGGTCCCATGATTGATTGGAAATGGGCTTCCAGCTAGTTTGGCCAACCACAGTATTATCAAGCTTCAAAACAGCACAGACATCATCTGTAATTAAAATTTACAAACTAGCTTAAAAACCTTAAACCTTTATAAAAAATAGAAGTACTGCTGTTTAATTAGCAATAAAAGTCTTAAGACCCTTTGAAAATAAAGTTTTTCATAATCAATATTAAAACTTTTGAATCTAAATGGCTAGTTTTATATATACATACACTCCTACTAGACACTCCCAAATTGTTTGTGTTTGACAAAAACACAAATAGTGACTGCTATCTCTTTTGTTTACATTGGCATGTGACTGAAAGAACAGATAAATAGTTGTTTGCCACACTGTGTTTGTGTGAATATCAATCAGTTTTTCTTTCTCTATCTGATATTTACAGAGCTTGCTGCCTTAAACAATTCTTTATTTTCACATTTTTCTTAAAGCCTCTCTCTATACACAGGAAAGCACAGGCAAATTCACTTTTGTATTCCACGGTAGGTTGAACTGTCACATGCTTTTCCCCTGTTATATATCTATATGTAGTTTATGCTTATACTTCAGAATTTCTCCCCAGTGCTTTCCAAACCTCTTGCATTTTACTCTCCTCGAACGACACCCCTATCATCCCCCATCTCAGTGACTACCAGGCTATTATCTCAGTAAACACATCTGGATCAGCAGTTAGATTACCAAAATTTCAATGTTACTATTAAAGTGTCAGTAAACCATTAAAAGAATCAAGGCTGGAGATGGTGGCTCACACCTACAATCCCAGCACTTTGGGAGGCTGAGGTGGAAGGAAAGTTAGAGCCCCTGAGTTCGAGACCAGCCTCCACAACATAGTGAGACCCTGTCTCTAAAAAAAAAAAAATAGCCAGGCATGGTGGCACGTGTCTATAGTCCCAGCTACTTAGGATGCTGAGGCAGGAGGATCACTTAAGCCCAGGAGGTTGAGGCTGAAGTGAGACATGATTGTACCACTGTACCTAGCCTGGGCAACAGCAAAACGCTGTCTCAAAAAATAAAGAAAAATAAAGGAATCAAGATATGATTCTACAAGAAGGACCAGTCTCATAGCTTCTGTATACCTTCAGTTTGGCATAAAAGTGATGCTCAATAGTTCATTCTTCCAAAAGAACTAATGTTATTTGTCATTCAGTTTTCTAATGTATTTTTAACAAAATAGAATTTGTTGCCTTTTTGTTTCCTGTCATCAAAGCTTTTAATATTTTAAAATTAAATCATAAAAACCATAATTTTAAAGTATTTTGTCCAACTTGAACATTTCATATTCTTCTCTATCCCCATTCAGAAATCCCTTCTATAAGCACTTTAGTTTGTTACATGATTTTTAAAAATCTGGTTACTGAACTGGACAAGTCATCGGTTTTTAGAAGATTTCGACTACTTCCGCTTTTACTTTTACTCGTTCTGCTCATGAAAGATGATCTGGTTTCACTTGGACTCCAACCAGGCAGTGCAACTGATGTTGCTTTTGACCGTCCAGGGACATTCTCTAGGATATCTTGGCAGCCCATAAGACGAACTTCCAAAGTACCTGTTAGCATACATAAATATCAAATAAGAACATCAATCCTTAATCCATGGAATCCTTAAACTAAATCTGTTATCTATTCAAAAAAAGAAAAAAATAATCTGGTAACAAAAACCCTTCTCCCAGAGGATTTGTGAGGTAGTTATCATCTTTCCTATTTTAATTAGAGAAACCATTACAAATTCCTTAGACAATTAGAAGAAATTTTATAGAAAAGAACAGCACCTCCTGGCTGGGCATGGTAGCTCTCTTGCCTATAATCCTAGCACTTCGGGAGGCCGAAGTGGGTGGACTGCCTGAATTTAGCAGTTTGAGACCAGCCTGGGCAACATGGTAAGACTCTGTCTCTACTAAAAATACAAAAAATAGCTAGATGCGGCAGTGTGCGCCTGTAGTCCCAGCTACCCGGAAGGCTGAGGCACGAGAATTGCTTGAACACAGGAGGCAGAGGTTGCAGTGAGCCGAGACTGCGCCACTGTATTCCACCAAGACTCTCTCTCCCAAAAAAAAAAAAAAAAAAAAGGAACAGCATCTCCCAAAAGCTGTCTGTCTGTAGGGCATAAAACAAAATAAGTTACATAAACTATGTTGGTAGAGGTATGGGAGGAGAAACATAAAGCTAAATAATATGCCATTAAAATGGTACATGAAAATTGGAAATAAGGAAGTCTCACTATGTGAAAAGGAACTACGTTTAATAGTTACATAGTTAACACAGAAAAGAACTTTACAAGGTTTTTGTGTAACTAAATAAATTTGTGTTCTATTTGATGTAAAATGACATTATCTTTCCATTCTGTTAGTTTAATTAGCCAAAAAATTATGGGTTGTAATTAAGCATAAAATAACTTCAATTTATTAGGCAAAAAAATACTAAAGATGTTCAAAATGAAAACAAAGAACTATGCGTTAGGTCCTCTGGATATATGGCTTTGTCATTATTTGGGCTAGGCACAATATACTAGAATTTAAATAATGCTTCAGTATTAACATTTTAGATACTGTACACTAAATAACATTTTAGGAGGAGTATTTCTGGTAAAAGTTGTCCCATTAATTTAAATAACTACTTAATTTTACTTAAAGTTTTAAATTGTTTTTAATAATACTTAAGTACTTATATATTTCTGTCCAGGTAAGTAACAAAGCTTCCCAATCCAAAATACCAAAAAAAAAAAAAAAAAAAAAAAAAAAAAAAAAATAATAATAATAATAATTCAGACAAAATATATGATAAAAAGGGTTAAAGCCACTGGACATCAGGCAATGAAGAATAGTGATCCCCGAGAGACGGGAAACAAATGAGATAAGTCGTAAGATTGCTCCAGCTTACTGTCTTAAGAATTTCTAGGACACAGCGCAGGGAGGGGGGAAACTCAGGGGAGCCAAGTTGAAGAAACAGAAATGAGAGTACAAGGAAACCAAAGCAGCTAGAGTTCACAAGGCAGAATAAAGGAGAGAGCTGTTCATAGAAAGAACTCCTGAGATGGTCAGAGGGTTTTCAAGTATACATCACAGTACTAATTGGGCGCGGTGGCTCACGCCTGTAATCCCAGCACTTTGGGAGGCCGAGGCGGGCGGATCACGAGGTCAGGAGATCGAGACCATCCTGGCTAACATGGTGAAACCCCGTCTCTACTAAAAATACAAAAAATTAGCCGGGCGTGGTGGTGCGCGCCTGTAGTCAGTCCCAGCTACTTGGAGGCTGAGGCAGGAGAATGGCGTGAACCCGGGAGGCGGAGCTTGCAGTGAGCCGAGATTGCGCCACTGTACTCCAGCCTGGGCGACAAAGCGAGACTCCGTCTCAAAAAAAGAAAAAGTACTAATCAGCACCTGCCTATGAAGAAAAGATCTGAGGCAGGGTAAAGAACCAACTGAAAAAGTTAGAAAGAACAATACTCAGGGCATAAAGGCAGGAATAGTATTTGCCACCACCAACCAGGCTTGAAAATCTCAACTCATGAGGTACTGAAGAAAATATCCAAAAGAGTCTTGCCCCAGCAGTAGAGAATAATTACCCCTAAACTAAATGATTTCACATAACAAATCTTTAAAGCAGTACCCAAAAGGGCCATATTGTTTCCAAGTAACTGTGTCCTAGTACAAAGTTCAAGAATATTTATAGAAATACAAAAATATTCAGCATCCAACAAGGGAAAATTCACAATGTCTGCCATCTACTCAAAGATTACCAGCTGTATTTGTTTTCTATGGTTGCATTACAAATTATTACAAGCTTAGTGGCTTAACATAAATGTTAGGGTTAGAAGGCAAGGATATCAAAACAGTCAATCTACTGAAAATGTGGCACAGACACATGGAAGAAATGAAAAAGACCTAAATCAAATTTCTAGTGATTAAAAAACGGCAATATCTGAGATTAAAAAAAAAAAATACACTGGATGGGACTGCAGGCAGATTAAACATTGCAAAAGAAAGATTATTGTTCTTGAAGACATAGTAAAGAAATGATCAAAAATAGAAGACACTAAGGAAAGACTTGGGAATAAAAAAAGAACAGAGCATATATTAACTGTGAGTTTAATTTCAAGTGGCCATATATGTGTAATTGAAATTTCTCATGAAGAGAGAGCAGAAAGAATTGGAGACACAAAATGTATTAGAAAAAAAAAAAAAAAGGCCATGAATTCTCCACATTTGATGAAAACTATAAACCCAAGAAGTATACAACAAGAAGTTCAATGAACACTAAACAAAAGAAACAGAAGCAAGCCATACTAAAGCACACCATAATCCAATTTCTCCAAACCAGTCATGAACAAAAAACACTAAAAGTAGCCAGAAAAAATCATGTAACATAAAGAGGAACAAAGATTAAGATGGCAGGAGATCTCTTATGCAAAACAATGAAAGCAAGATCATACACTTAACATATGTATAGTTTTTGTATGTCAATTATTCCGCAATAAAACTGCTCTATAAACTGGATACTGATGATGGTGAAATAGGCATATACATTTACTAAAAAAAATACTTTGTATATTTAAAATGAGTGAATTCTATGGTATGTAAACTATATCTCAATAAGGCTATTAACATTGGGAGGTGGAGTGTCAATAATGTTTTGTTAGACTGTGGAAATCTTATCTTACTGTATAGTATTAACACATTAAGTACAATATCATTTTGAGTTCAAAAAATTTGTTGTGTTTCTTGTTTTGTTGTTAAACTGGCAAATTTAGCTAATTTCCACTGCAAATGCTCAGCTGTAAAATGCATCCTGGGGAAACTGAAAACATCTGGCTACTACTTCAAACTATGGTAGCTTATTAAACATTTTAGTAATTTCAGTATATCAGAACATGACAATGCTCAACACCTGCTTTCATTTAGGAAAAAAAATCTAGAGGGAGTTCTTTATTAAACATCTAGAAGTTTCTTTATGAGGTGACACAATTACATATAAACACATTAGAAACAGTTTAAAACTACATTCATAAAGCACAATATGAAATTTTCAAAACAAGCAAATCCAAGAAGTAAATGTTGGTATTCAGAAGTAATAACTATGAATTGCATTAGAACAAGTAAATGCTTTAACATTTTTCGTTCAGCTTTCTGGAAAACTATTTTATACCTATTTCACTAATTTGGTATTTCATCGTGGTATCATTAGGCAACTTTTTAAAATTCTGTAGAAATATCCTCTTATAAAAACTAGTAAATTTCTCAAAACGTGAAGCCCAAAAAAAAAAAAAAAATCAACTTTACCTTATTTGAAGTAGCAACAAATTTGCAAATTTCAGTAGTATAATCATGCAACCACAAAAGAAACCGGAGTATGAGACGAACCACAAATAATAGCATGCAGTAAAAACTTCAGAACAGCGAATGCTCTTACTATTCATCCATGTTCATCTTTCGTCATGTGGAGTCTTTTATTAATGTCAGTACTATTTCCCTAGTTACTTAAAATTTAGTTTATGGTCCCTTAGAAGCTTAAAGAATTTTTTTTTAAATGTCTTAAGAATTGTAAGATACTTCTTTTTTGGTTGGTGACTTATATAACTGTGAGTAAAGTTTAGTAATGGAATGACGAACAGGGGAAGAAGGAACTGAAAAGAGGGAACAGGAGACTAGAAAAGGAAAACAATTCCAGTCAGCTCCAGCTGAGTTTCTAAAATGTGACTTTATTACTTTTCTAGAAATATGGTTAATTTCCAAATATTTGACAACCATATTTTAATCAATGCATCATTCAGAAGTGCTTGAGTATCAACAATGTGTTCAGCATTGAGCCAAAAGGTGGTGAAACTTAGTAGACAATAAGTAAGTCCTTGCCTGAAGTATAGTCCTTGCCTAATTGTCAGATACTATTTACCAAGTACTTGTTGAATGTATCAAATATCCCATGCTGGAGGCGAGGATATGATGTAGGTAGACGACAAGGTCTTTGTTCTTTACAGGTCTATATTCCAGTTTTGATTTAAAAATACATATAAGAAGAAGATGAACACTAAGGTAAAGACATTTAAGCAGTGTAGAGGAGGCACCGGGCACAAACCAGTTTGTGACAGAAGATTCATGGTAGGAGTTACAGAGATATGACTGGAAAGATAAATAGGTATCAAATATGAAAGAATTAGATCAGAGGTTCCCAAGCTTTCTCAGTTCATGGTGCCCTAATGTTTTAAACTATTTTTTAACTGTGTCCCAAGGCCAAAAGATACATCTAATAGTTCTGCTTATTAAACAGTTAGGTCCAAACATAGGATATGACTGCTTTCCTAACAAATTAATAGCTATTTGAAAAAAAATACATATAACTAAAAGAAAAAGCATTTTCATTCTTAAGCAAGATTACTTCCTTTTGGAAACTGTATAACTTCTAAAGCTTTGGAATCAGTTTGGAAACTACCACACTGATTTCCTATTTCACACTGATTTCGCATAGCACTTTAAAAAAAACCAAAATCACAGCAATCGGGGAAAACCCAGCTTCATAAATACAAGACACCACTGAAAGGAATGTAGCTCCACCT